GCTGGATGCTGATGCCAAGTTGTAGACTGAGCTGGAATTTACAGGACTGAGTTTGTGATGCAAACTGCAGATAAAAACATCTCAGATAATCTGTGATTTCTATGTATTCCTCTGAATCCCCTTTTCGTTCCTATACTTACTAGGCAGAGAAAATACTATAGAAAAGTATCTATAAAACATTGGTGTAAGAGGCTACAAGTACTAGTTGGAGACAGCAGAACACTACCAAAACCATTCTCAGGGGTCTTGCAGTCCAGAATTAACTCTCCTCTGATTTTACAGAAGGCACAAGAATTTCAGAACAAGACAGGAAAAAGTTTTTTGCCTTAAGAGAAGGGCTGGGAGTGTGGTAGGGTGGCAAACCTTAATTAGAAATAGCTGAAGAGTAGGCTGAAGACAATCAGATTCTTCTCAGAGGTGCCAAGTGACAGGATTAGAATCAATGTGAAAACTTAAAACCAGGAAATTTCTATAGGAATACATGATCTTCCAAGGCCACTTCCAACATTACCTATTCTGTGATTCTGAGAAGTTCTCCATGAAAAAAAATGTTAAGGTCAAAATCAGACAGAGGCTTCTATAAGAACAGATGCTGCATCTTCAAGCATGAGGTTGCAACTAAATTAAGAGAGGAAAGGGAAATAAAATTGCTTTTGATTTTCTTTTTGTGTTTTGGAGACATTTTTTCCCCACTTCTTTTACCAAATGATAGGAAAATTTAGGTTCTGAAACTAATTCATTTAGAAGATCAAAAGAAGGGCACTCTTACTTCCACTACTCTTTCACTTACTAAGTGAAAGAGTAGGTGGGAGTGATATAAAGAAGGAACAGGTCAGTGGGGAAACTGTAAACAGGGGGAAGATAGCAGTGCATTGGCATTTCAGGAACAGCAGGCAGTAAAGAATCAGAATAAAAACTGAAGGGTGATCCAAAAAAGGGGAATTGTGAGTGAGAAAATAAAAACCCTGTAGTATGTGACAGAGCTTGAGAGGAGCAGTCTGTGCACAATTAGGAAGTCACATACTGAGGTGACATAGGCCAAGGAACTGAATTTGACCAAAACATCAAACAGATGGACTGAAACCTTTCACCAGCAGCTGTATTCTGTTAACTCTTAAGTAAGCCTGAGGTTAGGGAGAAAAGTGAGGAAAGGGATTATGAGAGATTTTTTGGGGTAAACTTGTGGAGTATGACAAGGTATAGGGGAAGAAAATTGCAGCCAGCTGCTTAACAGAAAATAGTCTTTGCCTAAGCCCAGGGCTTTCTGCCTGCTGCCATTTCAAAGATATCTTATGGTACCATGTCTCATCTGATCTTGTCAGGGACATGGTTTTTCTAGCATTCCAGCATCTCCTGAATTTGACATGGTGCTAGAAAGAACTCTGATGAACCCCAGCTGTGTTACTATCTTCACTTATCTTTTTTTAAAAATCACATTCTCATGCTAGTCTCATTTTGGAGAAACACAGAACCAAAATATTCAGTAAAATATCAAACAGCTGTCCAAGTCCAATTTAAATATCACAATACCATTGGGTCCCATGAGACTGCTCAGGGCGAATACTTAACTTCATGCTGAAGTGTTCCATGAATTAGGGATCACCACAATTTTGATCCTCTCTCCTCTTAAATCATCATGGCCAGGCTTCGTGAACGAAGATTTGGGAAGGGCTCTACCCACGTTTGATGCAAGCGCGTTGGTGGCTGAAAAGGCCAGTACGAGACAGGCACGTCTGGTTGCAAAAGGCACAACTTCTCTAAGGAGAAAGACTCCTTAGACGGTATATTCTGCAAGGCACGATTCTTTCTGCATTGCCTTTTCTCCTCAAGAGTGATCCCGCGTGCTTTCTCAAAAGCATCAGCAGCGTTATAGATGGTTCTCCACTTAAATATTGAACAGAATATAGTGTAGGCCCCAAGAGCAGGCGTCAGAGGAAATTCAAGTAGCTCAGAGAAACATGGCATTTCTTTTGTTAATTTTATATTTAATGATTCATAACAGGAATATCTTTCTCTGTCAAAATGAAAGGCTTCCTGGGTTTGATACTGTGCGAAAACCCTACCTGAAGTTTGGAGTTAAAGTCAACTGTGGTACTGTAGCTGTTGGAACTGTTAGAAAATGGAGATACAGACATAAGAGGTAGTATTCTAAATATTTGGCTAAAAGATACAATGAAATTGTGACTGTAGCCTGAGGGACAGAAGAAAATGTCTAGTTTTAAAATGAAAATACACAATGTTAATATAGTGCAACCTTTTTGCTGTAGAAACTATTAAATCCTCTAGTACACTGTTTTACTCTAGTATTTTGTTTTTTACAGTTAAGAATGTAACCTTTTTACAGGACATTTAAAAAGTTAAGTCTTCTTGTTCTAAAGTAAAGGCATGCTGCAGGTCACAACATATCCTTTCTGACAGTGATTAACTTCAGTGCACTTTTAAGTGAAGTTACAGGCTAAACACAAAAAGTTGTACTATTTTAAAAATGCAAAATATATGATTGCTAGATATGTATTTTTTAAAGTGTGATTAACATTCTTCATAAAAAGTCAAGAACAAGACCATAAACTGATATGTCTGCAAGATATATTAAAACTTGTTTACCAAATCTACCAAATCAACATAAAATACATTATCTTCTCTAAATAAATAAAAAAAAAAAAACAACACTACAATGTGGTTTACATTCTCTTACTTCTGAAACACAAAAATTACATAAGGTATTGCAACACTTGTGCCATCAGACGTATAAACAAGTTCCACCATCACTATTTGAACTATGCTGAGTCTCATCTAATTCTGCTTAAAACAACAACACAATGAAAAATGGCATCCCACTGGACCATCTGACAAAGTCCTTGCTCCTTAAACTACTAAATACTAGAAGGCAGTGATTTTTGGATATCTTGAGGCAAAGTACAGTTGAAAACAGTAATTCTCTAAGTTTCAAGCAAAGTAGTTTGCCTGTGTGGTGGGTTGGCTCTAGCTGGACACCAGGTGCCCACCAAAGCCACTCTATCACTTCCCTCCTCAGCTTGACAGAGGAAAGTGTAACAAAAGGCTCATGGTTCAAGATACAGACATAGATCACTCACCAGCTTCTGTCGTCGGTAAACAGACTTGACTTGGCGAAATTAGTTTATTACCAATCAAATCAGAGTAGGATAATGAGAAATACAAACCAAATCTTAAAGATACCTTCCCCCCCCTTCTTCAGCTTAACTTTACTCACAATTTTCTCTACCTCCTCCACCTAATGGCACAGAGAGGTGGGTAATGGGGGTTGCAGTCACTTCATCACACATTGTCTGTGCTGCTCCTTCCTTCTCAAAGGAAGGACTCCTCACATTTCCCCCACTCCAGCATGGGGCCCCTCTCATGGGAGACAGTCCTCTACAAACTTCTTCAGTGAGTTTTCCCCATCGGCTTCATAAACTGCTCCAGTGTAGGTCCCTTTCATGGGGTGCAGTCCTTCAGGAACAGACAGCTCCAGTGTGGGTCCCCCACAAGGTCCCGAGTCCTGTGAGAAAACCTGCTTCAGTGTGGGCTCCTACTCTCATGGGTAGACTTTTTGCTACATCAATGCTGGGACAGTACTGCCAACTAAAATTCACTAATTATAACCAAAGGCGCTTGGACACATTATGAACAGTAGAAATGGATAATATGGTCCAAATACTACACTACTTCAATACCACAGTCTACAGGACACTTCTGAGACAAAAATGTTAAAAAAATATACCCATCTGAATGCAAGAAACAAAGTCCATTATTCTGGATGGACACCAGCTACTGCTTTGATACATGCCAGTAAAGGGCAGGAGGGTTTAGAAACAGAGTTAACAGGCTGTCCATGCTATCTGTAATCTTTAGGAAGCCATGAGCTTTCCAAAAGACCAATCAGTTAAGCTTTCAGAAGGGTTATTACAATACGCAGGTTAAAAGTTCAAGTTAAAAAGAAAAAGAGAAAAAAAGTAAAACCAGAAGCCTGTATGTTTTATCAAAAGGCTGAACAATTTGTTTCATTAAATAGAACCTGCAAAAGACAAATAAAGTCCCTTAATGTTAACATGCCACATGAACCATAGCAGCTACGTTTTACTTTCAGTTACCTGGGCAATAAGGCCAGAAATCCTGCATATTTTAACTTCATTTAGAGTTCAGGCCAAATGACAATTTACCCAGTGATAAAGAGAATGAGTGCGGTGGTCTCACATATCTTTGCAAAAGAATGAAAGAACCAACAGAGATGCTGGCCCTCTGCTTGTACCCTTACCGAGCCAAAGCTATCCAAAGCACCATCTCTACCTAAAAAAGGTAGGGTTTTTTAGCATACTTGGGTCAGAAAGAATTTTGTATTTGCACAGAGCAAAATGATAAAATAACCATTTAGTAAAATTTATTCATATGAGTATGAAAGCCATGAAGGATGTCTAAGCAACAAGGTTTTCACTGACTGAATACTCTATTAGGTGGTGATAAAAAAAAGAGGCCATAATCACATATTTAAAAATACACCAAATACTTTTCCTGTTTACACAAATTGAAGCAGTGAAATGAGCTACAAACAGAGCATCATGATGCCCATGAACAATACAGGCACAAATAATCTTCAGTATATAGTTAGATCTGAATCTAGTATATTCCTTATATTCAATATTATTTTCCTACAGGACAAAGAACTCTGAAGTGACTTTTTGCATACTGTCAAGTGAATGATGTATTTCCATTCAGAATCATTATCTCTCTAGGACTTTATTATTATAATTTTTATTCCTGGCTTACTGCTAATCCCATTTCTTCAATCCTCTAGCAATTCATCATATGAAGGATGAAGGCATAAACACACTTAGAGAACTGTGTTTCTATAGCAAATAAGGTGTTCTGTTTAGAATCAAGGTCAGTAGCAAGGCATTAAGATAAGGAAGCAACAGTTTAAGAGCAAAGTGTTCCACCATTCAATACATACTTTTTTCTAATATTTCCTTTTATCACCATATATCAAATGGTTACTCAGGCACTGTGTCTCTAAGAATGATTTAAACTATTTCCCATTCATGCAGAGGTTTAGAATTTACATACAACTGTTTGGGAAACAAAAAGTCTACCTCCACTGCTGTTTCCCCGGTAAAAGCAGGCATTTACATTTGTGCAGCTTTAATTAAAGTTTAGAAAAAGATAGTACACAGGAGATTAAACATCTTATCAAGAGTGAGTTTACAGCCTAAATGGAGTTGTTCAAGTGATTGAATAGGAAGATTATGGTAGGTTAGCCAGAAAGGTTAACAACTCAGACAAGCCAGCAAGCAAGGAACATGAATGGGATGCAACTTCCTTTCTGAAATGCTACAGGCTTTCAAAAGAAAAAAAGAGCAATCAAGCTTTACATGTCCAATAAGTCTGCACAAATCTAAAGGACATTCTTTACAGTGGTGTACAGTAGAAAGATAAGAGACCATGGACATAAATGAAAGTTACAAAGGTTCACACTAGTTAAATGCTCAGGGGACAGTCAGGCATTGAAACAACTTTCCCAGGCCCATACATTCTCCATTGTTTAAGACCAGACCCGGTGAACACCTAAGCACATTGCTATGACTTTGCTTGGAGAAAGATGTTGCCTTAGAAGACATCCTAAGAACTCTTATCTGAATTACTTTAGGATCTTAAGCTAATTAAACTCAGTTTTAGCCTATGCCAAGCCTTACAGTGGTAACTTTAAATAAACCTTTAACATAGCAGGTTGAAAATATATAAACTTTATAGAAAATAAAGTTGTTTTCAAATGTCAATGAAAGCAGTGTGGAACATATGTGAAGATTCATGTTCTCAAAAGCATACACCAACAACACACATAAGATGCCCCAAAATATTTATTCATTTATCTCTTAAAAAGTACATTACTCTTTAGAAAAAAAGCCTAAGAAATCTCAATACAGATTAAAGTATATCAAATCCTGCACATACTTAATTCTGATGTTTAAGGAAACATCAGTACCATCAAACCAAGCAAGATAAGACTTCTGAAGTCAGTAGCAATGAGGTACTGGGACAGAAGAAACCCTTAATACAAAGAGGTGCTTCAAAGCCTTTGAGCCAGGCAGAGCCAGAGTTCTAGAATGTGTTCAAGAACCATGAAATCTCTCTAATCCTTTTGATCTTCATTTGCTGCCAAAAATGCATGAGTGTTATAACAAAGAAGCATCTCAGTATACAGTTACAAACTGGTAAGCCAATTCATCAGTTCAAAGTAGGCAAAAAAGCACAGCACTGTTCTAAAACTGAAAGAGATAGAGTTTGGGGCAGGGGTTGACAGGCTAGCATGAACCAATTAAGCTATTTCCTTGAAGACATCTCTCCTTCCTCATGGTATTCAGAACCATCTCAATATAGAAGAAGAAAGAAGGAAGTTCATTATCACAGGACAGTAAGGTATGTACTTTTTGCACTCTTGGTAAAGTTTTCAGTGTTCAGTGCAGGAAAAAGTCACTGAATGTTTATTTCTGGATGTGCACACAGGTGAGTTTACCATAACTATGTGCCAGCAGTACAATTGTATCATTAATGTGTTTCATATGTAAAGTATTAGCTGAAAATATTCTGCCTTAAATGGCTGGAGATGCATTTTTGTTAGTATCTCCCCATGTCTTTCCCTTGTTAAATACAATAATTTAACCATCTTGGTTTTACTTAGTGGTAAAAGCCATCTATTCCACTCAGTCCTAGTGATCACAGTAGGAAAGATACCTCCCATCTGTCATTGGCCCCTTCAAGATTTCTAGGATGTTTCAGTCCAGGACAACTAGCAATGAGACAGACCCTCACAGTGGGGGATAATAAATAGGGACAATTGTGCAGGTGAGAAGGCTAAAGTGGGACATTACTGGTGACAAAGGAAAAGTTTACTTTAAAGGTGCAAGTGTCTATTCAGCTAAAACCTTGACAAGTGAGTCCTATTTGGAATGTAGCATATCTCATAGAAGCACTGAATGTTGTCTCTGTTCCTTTTTAGGAGTATAAACACTACCTTATGTTCTCAAGTAAGAAGACGCTAATCAGACTTAGATGCAGTCGCTGAAGCAAGTGGAATGATAATGCACAAGATACACAGTTTCATGCTAAACAAGAATATGTAAACACCCAAACGAGTCACCAATTCAGATAGTACCAGACACCCCATATGGATTGTCACAACGCAGCACCATAGCAGCATTTTGATTTAAGGAACAGTCTTGCTGCTCATTCCATCACATTTACTTAACAGTGGTAGCATTAGCAGCACTGTGATTTACTCTCTGCTTTCAGTGGGTCTAGGTCCAGTTTTGGTTTCCCCACATCATTCTCTTCATTAGGAAAGGTTTTGTAGTTGGCAAGGATGTTTTCCACCAAGAATCGAGCAGCTTCGTCTATGTTGATGTTGTCCTAAAGATGTTAAAAGCAAAGAATTCAGTGATTTTTTTGAAATAGTCACACGTTCCTATTAAAAAAACTGTCCAAAAAGAAAAACTTCCCTTCAGTCTCATCAGCATGACACAAACAGTTTAGATGCATCAGGTCATTGCTCACACACTTTTTTTTTTTTTTGAAAAAAAGTTACCAGAAAGGTTTGAGACAAAACTATTCACCCATATTACAAATTGAATACTGTGACTCTAATTCAGTAGGGAGTCAGGGATATAAATGTCACCTGCATATGGAAGACTCACAAATGCCAAAGTGCTTTTCTGCATCAGGACAGATCACAGGTAATTACACTGCATTGTCCATAGTGTTGTAAGAACTTTGGGGGCCTTTTGCTGTTTTTGCTGCAGTTTGGATGCACTTATATATGTAAAAGGACCTTTTCCATGAGCCTCAAAGTCACAACTATTTTCAGGTGCTTCATCTACCCACTGTACATATTCTTATGCATGCTTTGAGAAGTACCTTCACATACACTCTAAAGAAGGTCTGTATGCAGAATACCTAGTGATGTGCTTTGTCAGGATATCCCAGTTACTGAGGGTCTAAGCTGGCCCTAATACCAAAGGGTCTTTGGCCACAGGTTTAACGTTGCCGGGCCACCTGTTACTTCACCACAGGGCTGCCATGTTTGGAACTGCTCATCTTTGGTTCTAAAGGAAATACCAGCCCTGTACACTCTTCTGTTTCTCTAATTGTAGATCTAAACTCTACATGAGCAAGGTTGGATCGTAAGAACATTTGACCCATCACTACTGCACTTTACAAGCTTGTGATTGTCAGCCACAAACTGCTTTTGGCAGTTTACAGATAGGCACTTTCCTCTGCCCAGAGCAGAGAAGGATTCTCTTCATTTTTGTGTAAAGATGTCCATAAGATATTTCTATGAATACTTATACTGTCTGCAGTTCTTTCACTTTTAATATTCTTCCTACAGAGTGGGACCTGTATTACTGAAGACTAGACTGAAGATTCAAGTATCAGTTACAGCAGAAAGGCAAAAGCAAATTAACAAGGTATTGAAGTGAGCAGGACTTGAAACCATAAACTGATTTGGCATGCTCAGAAAACAAGAAAGCTGTCCTGCATTTTTGCTAAGCTCTTTTAATTACACCTCTTCTGCATCCTAAAGTCAATTCATAACTGAGCTATGACTTATTATCTCGATTTTCCTCTGCACCAAGAACCTTGTTTTATACCATCATGTCTTAAATGCCACCTAAAATGCAAGCTATCACTACACTTTCACATTAGGTTTTGTTCCAATGTTACTTGCATTTATTTTCACCCCATGATGAAGCTTATAAATAGCAGTTTTATGGGTAGATAAAGCTTCAGGGAAGACGTAACCCAAAGCAGAACCTTGGTATTCTTTTTGAGTATAGAGAGCCTTAAAAAATGAGTTTTTAGTTTTTAGATGAGTGAGTTTGCAAATATTTGTTCCAATGCAAACAGATTCTTAGCTAATTTAACTAGTTCTTTTCCCTGTGTATCGTTCCTTATTTCAAAGTGATCAAGAAGCAACTTTTTACTTTGTTTCCAATATTCTTCTTACAGACTTTTCTTTAAAAGAGTTGTTGAAGCATCATTGTGTGACATTCAGCAGCAGCAGCTACAGAAAGTAGACAAGCCAAGGGAAAAGTGGGACCTTGAGGCTTAGCTTACTCTATAAGAGTTATCAGCCAGATCAGTAATCTGGTCTGTCAGCCACAGTCTTGATCTAGAGCAATCTTTCATTTTAAGAATTAGTTGAGCTTTAAGGAAATGCTGGATTTCATTTCTAACTAAGCTGCCGCAAGTTTCTCTCTGCATTGATAAGTCCACAGACTACAACTGTACAGTATATGAAATCCCTCAAAGTTAACTGTTTGAATAAAGCAGCTGTCTTTCTTAAATTGCTATACAGAACAATTTGTTTTGCATCCAGTTCAGTCTTGACATTGCCTGATAAAACAGAAAAGTGCTTTAGCAACGCTGTGGGTAGGTAGTAATAAGTGAGCAAACTTTACTTCAAGTCTTGCCACTTCCTACCTACAACAGTGAAGACAGAAGTTATAATTCTAAAAACTGCACCTAAAGATTACCTGTATCTTTTAGATAGTTTGATCAGCGTTTAGTAGGGTTAAAATCTAAAGAATGACTCTAATCCTCATGCATGCAAGATGAAAAAACATATCAAACTCAGATAATCAAGATCTCCAGAAAGTTTTAAGGGTCTCTGAATTTTAGATTTTAATCTAAACCAAATATGCCCCATCTTCCTCAGGAGTGAAGCTAGCCTGCACAACACTTCAAACTTTTGCTGAACACTGGAGATTTGACTGTCACTTCCTATACATAATTTTATTTCCTACATGATTATATTCATCCATTCTTACGCCAATACTCAAGAGACTAAAAACATGTTTCTATTATGCTCACCTTGGCAGATGTTTCAAACCATCCAACAAAGCCACCTTCTCTGCAGAACTGGTCCATCTGAGAGGGATTCTGGCTGCCATCTTTCTTCTGGTCACACTTGTTTGCAAGAAGAACAGCAGGGATAGGGCTGCCATTGGGAAGTAGTACTTTACTGTCCAAATCATGCTTCCATTTTGAAACAGCCTCAAAAGTGGAGCCTCTTGTGACATCAAAGACCACAAAAGCACCAACTGCCTCTTTGTAGTATACTCTGGTCATATTTCCAAAGCGCTCCTGGCCTGAAAGAGAAGACAGTGATCAAGTATATTTATATTGAAGCATGAACTGTATTCAGTGTAAATGGACTACTGTACCAGCTTAATTCATAAGTTTGGCATTTGGGTCTAGTCATCTAGTTCATAAAACACTGCCCCTTTTATCCTATGTCATCATGGCTAGGCTTCACGAACAAAGATTTAGGTATATGTAAGTTCATTGTAACAGTCATTATATATATTACACCTGACAAGTCAGGTGCTAAAGGTAGTTTGCAATCCCAACTACCACTTTGAATTTTTTTTTAAACTTATTTGTTGAGTAGTGTTCTTTGAGAAGTAATGCCTAAAACACTACCAGCACAGCTATACACAAATCATTCTTTCATCAAAAAATATCAAGGTTTATATCCAAATCTAGTTACTTCAGCTACAGATTTAAGCAAACTCAGCCTTTTGCTGAAGGGTGAGCAACAAGGGTTTCTGCAAGCTTCAAGGCTAACAGCCTTCAAAGCATCTTCTGAAGAAGTCACCTATATTATAGATTTTTCCTTAGGGATGAGTTCAAAAGGAGCTAGCTTAACAGTTTTAGCTAAACCTGCTATCTTTTACTTCATCTTTTAAGCCTAAGATTTTCTCTGGATCATTTTCCAACTATAGAAATTCTACAGCAATCCCAGGATTTCAAACAAGATTATTGGAATAGTTAAAGTACAATTAATCACAATGAAAATGCAGAAAAAAAAAATCAATCATCAGTGAGTAGAGTAAAAAAGCCTTTTCTTATTAAGAACAACTATTATAGTCAGTATACTTGAAATGTAGAATTAGAGTGTGCCAGTTCAGTTATTCTTCTGTTTGGGCAGTCAGGCCACGATGATATGTTTTGATACTTGAGTGTATAAAACTTGAGTGTCTATATACTTGAGAGTATACTTGAGTGTCAAGTCCTAGCACGTTGTTTTGGAAGTTTGGGCTACTAAAATAGCTTCCTGTTTTGTTTGGAAGAGTTCACTGGGAAAAGTAGTCCCTGCACTTTATGATGTAGGTTTACAGTATATCATGACTTCAGGTTTTACCACTTAGTGGATATGAGGTTTTGCAATACATAAAGTACGAACTGTATTTGGAAACCTAGTTGTCCTGTTTATAAATGTTCAAGTCCACCTTTGATTAGCAAGGGCAAACAGATACAAGGAGAACTGGGCGTTATCTTCTCATAAGGAGCCAGAAATTCAATAGGTGAAGGAACTTCACAAGGGATCCTGTTCAGCAGCATGCTTTCCTAGCTCAACTGTCTCTTTTTAATATCAGTACTTTGGTGTATGATTAGCTCATTCCCTACAGACATTTTCTGAAAAGGTTGCCTAAGCAGCTGTTAGAATTGCCTGAAAGCAGCAGCAGCTGCAGTAAATTTCCAGAGAACTATGAAGAAGCTGACTTGATTTCTGACTGTTCCCTTTAAAGTACGATGCTGCATAAAACAGCATCGGTAGATAGCATATTCTTCAGAATGGAAATGACACATGAATTACTTCACTACCAGCTAATTACTGCATATGAGAACAAGCAGCATCCAAGAGGAAAGTTCTGATCTCCCTATTCAAAGCTCAAGTTTTGAGGCAGAATTTATGCCATGGATTCTAAGGCCAGGCACCAAGACTGCATCTCTGAGACTATGACACTGGAAGAGCCACATTGCTAACTAATACAAGTCTCCGAAAGAGTGTATACAAGTAACTCACTTTGTCTCCCTAGGTCTTTCCAGGCTGGACTCTTACGCCTAAAAGGTATTTCTAGTATAGCCTTACTGCAAAATGTTGTACCATGTGACCACAGTTTTCACAAATCAAATACCGTTAGCAAAGAGTTAGACCAGAAGGTTTTTACTGCTTCTGGAGGCCAATTGTGTCACTTCCAAAGAAGCTTTACCTTTCAATTGTGGGGATTTTGTTGTTTTGGGTTTTTTTAATGGAGTTCTACACTCAAATTTAGTTATATTAAGCCAGCCACTGCATAGGGTACCACATAAGCAATGAGGAGCTCCTTGTAAGCTTCCCCTTTGTTTAGCTGTCAGTCTAACAACCAGTTCCTGCCATTTGGGAACACTTCGGACTACGCTAAAGTGCTTGAGTCTTGTGTCCAATTCAAGTAGTATATCCCTTCACATCATAGGACAGATCCACAAAACAAACAAGTGTAATCTCAAGGTCTACAATGCTCTATACCAACTCAGTCTTCTACAGAAAGAGTTCTTCAGCCCTGAAATGGTGCAGAAATGAACACCACTTGCTGTTATTTACATGAGACTGAACATGAATCTGAAGCAGCAAGGGAAACAGTCTCATTAGTCCTCCCTAATGGAAGGCTGGGGGGCTTTCGATCTTTAATTAAGGCTGTAAGTTTTTCCAAAAACTTGCTGAACATTTACATAAGGAAATTAAGTTTTATTGATTAGTTGCAGAAAGGGTTGCTATACTGTTACTAGCAAGGAGTAGACCCAGCACAATCACTACATATGAAAAGTTATTTCAGAATAGCAGAAAAAGTTATCAGGCAGTTACCATTTCTCAGATAGCTGAGTATGCTGTAGGTAAACACGGCTGCAATCAGTTACCACAGTGAAGGACACCACCATTGACTGAATCCCTTCCCGCCTACTGCCCTCCCATCCAAAACAGTTTTAAAGAAACACACCTAGCAAGGCAACCATACTAGCCTCCTGTAGCAATAACCTCTGCCAAAACATGCACAATAGTGCATTTAAGGTGTACAAAAGAGGTCAAATTAGTACAGCATTACATATAATCTTTCAAAGAAAAAAAGTTACAAAGTATAGCTCACAACCAAACTTGACAAAGTCCTAAACACCACCAAATGGCTTATCCTAGAGAAATACCAGGGGATCTAGCCTTTGCCAGAAACTCTGATCATCACTCAGGTAAGTTTTCTATTCCATTTCCTAGAAAGTCCCAACATTTTACCATAGTCTGTCTTCCCCACCCACCTGGCCCAATGCTTTTACACACAATGAGCTGGAGAGCTGCACTAACCAAGGTTGCCTGGCAGGTGGTTCCTTGACACTGGTGACTTCTCATGCCCCAGTATCTCCCAGCCTATGTGAAGCTTCAACACCCTGCAACCGTCAGCCAGATATGCTGTACCAGAGAGGCAACAACAGGTTTGCAGCAGAACTACCAATTCAGACCAACTGAATCCCATCATGGCCTCACCAGGAAAGGCCACTGTAAATGAGGTTGTGCTGCTAACTTGAAGACTCAGGAATTCTAGAATAATGCAGATGCCTTGTACAAGGTTAGCCTTATACAGTGGTTTTTCTCAATGCATAGTACGACAGCAGTTTTGGTAGGAATGCAAGCCTGCGGGGATGTTACTTTGTACTCTATAGCAACCACTTTAGAGACCATGGACTTCAGCTGTCCAGAACAATCATTTAAGTATTATTTCCAGCAGGCTTTATTGATAGAATTTAAAACTCTTATAGTACTCTCTTACAGTTTTAGATTTGGAAAAACATTAATACATATTTTTCTACAATTTTAATTTGAGTGAAAGTAGAAAACTTACATGCATTATCAGCATGAAAGTTTCTATCTTTACGTATAAGATTTAAGCTTTATGTTAGAAGGATTTAATATCTCCCTTAAACACACATAAGCTCAATATCATTGTATTTTTAGAGATAAATGCCTTTTAATAGGTCAAATACAGCCCAGTATGAGTGCTGCCTTTTCTAAAGTAACCCAAACTCCAAACCAGTTTATTACAGGCTGTTTTCACCTCTAGAATTCATTCACTAACAAGAAATCTGACCTGAATACTAGCTTACAACTGCTTTTCCATCGTGTCTGGAGGCCTAATGAGGATGGATATACTCTATTTCATAGAAAGAAGACAGAAACAAGAGGTAAGAGTTTTGTTTAGTAAAAGGTATATGGCATGAGGCAGGAAGAGAATTCCATTTCAGCTAAGAGGAATTTCTTTACAATCGTGTCACTACTGACAATGCACACGCTAAGCTTCTTGTAGGGGGATGAAGAGTATTCAAGACCGCCTTTTGAAAATTTAACAGGACTTTCAGGCAGAGCTTTTGTGAGTGCTTTTCTGCTTGCAAAAAAACCCAAAAAACTCATACAGAAAAAGCAAACTGTAGAACACACCACTCCTCCAAAGTCAAGTCTGATCATCATTCTCTTTGTTCTTAAAACTAAATGTCTCAATTTCTGCCATGCACAGTTAAGATATTTGTCATGCCCCTTCCTATGTCCAGCAGGATGTTTGCTGTACTCATTTCACCATGTGTGACAATAGTCTTGAGCAATGCAGAAAGAGGATCATACCCCCAGAGAAGAAAAAGGCTAAAATTGATCAGATTAAACTAGACTTAGAATCTCCAGTGTGTATAAACTTGGAAAGAAGAGGGAAGGAAGAAAACTACTTGCTTACTACAACAGTATAGAAAGGACATCACAAGACCAACTATTTTGGTAGGTCTACTGCCTTGACATAAACCTGATGGTACCACAAAATATACTTTGTGTTTTAGGGATTCAGGTATAAATGAGGAGCTAAGCTATGGGACAGTCACAGGGATCAGAGGTTTTATTCAGAGGTGTGGAAGTGACTGCATGCTATGCAAAGTTTTGCATTCTCAACCACAAAATTTTCACATCTAAATGACTCTGCACATATTGTCACCATATTGTCCAGTAATTGCAACAACCTTAAGTGAAATACTTGCACAATGACATACACCAGGAACTAATACAGTTGCCTACAGCAACACTACAGGAATAAAGTTGAGTTTAGAACTGTATCAGAATTTGGGAGCTATTATTACTCTGCAGTTTACATTGTAATGGGGGATGAACTGTAAGTTAAAAACTACATGAAAAAAATATGGCCAGGTTTGAAGCTTTATCTTTGTCCCTTACTTCACAGCAAAAGATAAGTTACCACTGTAAAAGTCAAAAAGAGTGTCAACCTTGCCTTGAAGTGAGTGC